TTATGAGTAATCTGAGAGAGATGCCAATCCCAATCTTTTGGAATGGAGGGCATTGGTTATTGGAGAAGACCTGTTCCATCGGTCTCAAGTTTGTGAGATCGAATCTGTGACCCCCCAAAAGACCCTTCAGGGTGATGCCCCTTCTGTAGGAAGCAGGAGACTGGCACTCACTGCCTGGCCCCAGGCATCAGTGCAGGATGGCCAGCTAAGCTGCTCTCTCCGCGTAGAAAGCTTGCTGAATCTCAGTGTTTAGAGATGTCCATTTCTCCATCAGAAAACTTGACATGCTTGTTCATTTTCTGTCCCAAAGAAGTATTATAAAGTTAATCAGAGAAATGTTGGTTATGCTTTGAAATCTTCAGAAGGATAGCATACTCACTTCCCAGTTGTACAAAGTAATGGGAGAAAATTGTCATTTGTAACACCTCATTATAATAATTAGGTTGTTTTAAGCCGAAGAGCAATAGTATGGGCACCTCTTCGCCTCTGACCCTTCCCCTCCCCCCCCATCCTTCCCGTTCCCCTGTTGTAGGCCCTTATCATCTCAGGTCGGGACTGTTGCTGTAGCCTCCTGGTGACTCTGCCTGCCTCGAGGTCCCTTGCTTCAGCAGCTTGGCAGCCCCTGCTTCCAGAGCTCCCCATGTGGTTGGGATACCCAACTGGCAAAGCCTTTTTCCAAACCTTGTAGCTTTGATGGGCTTCATCTACATGTACTTTATAGAGAAAAAAACATTTCCTTAACTTCTTTATATTCAAAAACTCTTCCCTAGGTTTTAAATGGAAGCATTTACTACCTCTGGTCATTTTATTTCTCTGGGCGTTAGTTGCTTCATCTGTAAAATGAGGAGATGGATTAAATGACCTCAGAGGTTTCTTTCAGCTCAAATCTGTGTTCTGTGAGCAGGGCAGAAGACAGTGGGACTATCGAATCTGGGGCAGATTGTGTCTCAGATGACACTGGCTTTGTTGGCCATCATGTCATACTGCTGACTCACTGAACTTGCTGCCCCATGAAAGTCACGGAATCTCTTGTTGAGTCTCTCTTATCTTGTACTTGAAATTGAGTTTTTGAACCCAAGTATATGACTTTACATTTGTCCCTAGTAAATTTCATCTTGTTACACATGTTGAAATTGCATTTTGTTTTAGCCCTTTAGTGGCCCTCTGGCAAGCCTACCAGTCAGTATACTAAGTATATGTAAGTAGCCAGTATAAGGTAACAATAATAGAAAGCAAATATGTCGACGGAAATGTAGAAATCACTTGCAAACTGCTTCCTAAATTAACTGAGGTCACATATGGTCACATATGGCCAAAGTAAGAGAAGCCAGCTAGGCCCCAGTGTAATGCCCCCCCTTAGCCTGTGTTAGCTGCCGATCAACTCCAGACATGCCCAGAAGAATCAGCAAAACCTTATGTAAATTAAGGAGGTAGCTTTGGGATGATACTGAAATGATGTTAAGGGGCTAAACCTAAGGTAAATAAGAATCCGCCCCCCACTACTGGAACCCTGCCCCTTGAGCACCTGGGTCCCTAGGTCCTTGCTGCCCAGGTGCTCACCCGTGACTCTTAGTGTCCAGCTCCCTCCCTCACCTTCCCCCTCCATCGCCTCTGGACTCTGTGCTTTATTCAAGTGGTTGATACATCACTCCCCACTTGCTTCCAGGGAGTAGATCCAAAGAACCAGGCACGTTGGCCCCCAACTCGACAGGAACTCCTTAGCAGCCCCCTCTGTTAGCTCATGAACCGAGAGCGCCAGGACCGAGGCCAGTTTGCAGCTACACCTTCTGTGGATGAGATCCTGGTGCCTTGACCCCATTTGTAGAGAGCATGGGCGGACCAGGAACCTGGTGCCCTCTCCCAGGAGGGACCCCCCATCGTTGGGTTGTAACAGGACATTCTGTCTCTCCTGTGTTCCTCACCTGCCCCCCAGTGTGTGCATCACCTCTTGTTCCCAGCTTTATGTCATCCGTAAATCTGATAAACCTGCTATCGGAGCGCGGCCTAGACGTGACCTCAGAGACCATCCACTTCCAAGCCCGTGTTTCACGGTTGAGGAGCCTAGGCCTCCCAGAGGGTCCGTGACTTGCCTCAGAAGTGGGATTTATGCTTTTATTCAAGTCACTGTTCAAAATGTCAAAAATAGGATGGGTCCAATGCCAGCTGCCTGAGATACCCCACTCATGGACCAAACCCCCCTTGACATGAAGCCATTGCCTGCTCTTTTTGGGGTCTGGCCATTCATGCAGGGTAACATCCACCCAGTGGTACTATTGGCTAGCCCCTCCCCTCCCCCCTATTTTCCATAAGATTGGCATGAGAACATGGTAGAAATAAGAGCTCTCAGAGGACTATCTCCGTAGTTGGTTGTTATTGAGCATTTGTTTTTGTGTTTCTGCTCAGATCCAGTGACCCTCGGGCCATCGGACTGTGCTTTGAGAAGGTCTCAAGGCTCCTCTTTTCGGGGAGGAAGGAGTGAAAATCCAGCCTATGCTCATTAGACCATGAGCTGTCAGGCTTGGTTGGCCTAGGTTCACATCACTCACATTTCATTAAGCTAGGGAACAGAAACCTAATAATGCATTAGTCATTCCTGGGCCCCAAGTGGCATCCAGAGGAGGTGCCTTCAGGAGGGACACTGACCAATAAATCAAACTTTTACAGAAAACAGTGGCTGAGAAATTCATTCTGTGGAAATGCCATCAAGCAAACCAGGCTGGTCTAGCTGGCTTTGATGAACTTCTAGCTTACATTCCACATACTTCCTTTTGTCTTTATTTTACAAAGACTCAGATTATGAAACCACCAGCAAGACGTTGGTATTTGTGTTAAGAGTGGTTACCATTAGGAAGCAATGCATTTCTTGTAACCATGCAACTGTAGCTATTTATATCTTCTGTGAATGTAGAAATAGCTCAACTTTCAAAAGCCGATTGGACCCATCCTTCTCAATCTCCATTGCAGTACGTGCGTGAAGGCCCTGGCCCTGGCCTCTCGCCTTCTGTCCCCACACTGGCTCTCATCCTGAATCATCTCTCTCATCAGTGACCCCGTGTTCAGCTTCTAAATGCTTGTCTCCTCCCTCCTTCCTCTCATCTCTTTGCAGATGATGCCTAGCCCCACATATGCAGCCCTCACCCCTCTTTGGAACTCCAGGGTCACATCTCAGGCCTCCTGCTGTAGGGTTCCCACAGTGGCCCTTAGGCGACTCAAACTCATCGGGTCTAAAACAAGACTTGTTAGCTTTCCCCTGAAGGCTCCCCCTCCTTCTTACTGCCCTGTTCTGTTGAAGACCCCACAATTCCTCCACATGCTCTGCTCTTCACTGTCACCGTCACCCTGGGAGCCAGTCACTTCACGTCCTTCCCATCTCCTGTGTCCCTCCCTTTCTCTCTACTCATACCTCATCTATCCCCGGCCCGGCCTGTAGCAGCCTCCTCTCTGACACACAACTGCCAATTGCCATTCCCTCTGCATCTGTCTGACAACAAGGCTCCCCGTTGCTCCCCTCTGGCCTTCCTGGGGGAATGCACTTCCAGTAAGTGCCCTGTGCTTGGGGATCTGTGAACCTGTCACAGTCTCCCTGGGGGATATAAATTCCCTGAGGGCAGAGACAGCTTCTCTTTTGTATTGCTGTCTTGGAGCAATTAAGAAATGCCTGTTGATTGATGAATCATAGAGTAGGCTTTCTGTTACTAAGTGGTGTCATTCAGGCAGTAAGCATTTCTTAAGCCAAGCACTGAAGGCTGGGCTGGTCCCTACTCCCTGGGAGCTCCAGATGAACAAAGACGTAAGTGCAAAGGTGTATACAGAATAGACAAAAGGTCATCTCAAAGGGAAGGCCTTGGTAGCTGAGGGACTGGCATGGGCTCATGCAGAAGCCAAGACTTGAAATTGAATCTCGAAGCCAGGGAAGCTTGGAAGGTGGAGGGGAGGAGAGAGAACTTTCCAGGTCCCAAGGCGGGAGATGGTGTCGAGTTTAGGGGCCTTCTTCTAAAATATTTCAAATACAGCAGCATGGGCCATCCTTTCAAGGCCTAATCTTATGGTCCTAAGGTGCCCACTGAAATGCAGTGGTCCCTCCTGGGCCAGGTCCCCTCCTTCCGTAGCCTGGCAGTCCCTGTTTCCAGAGCTTCCCATGCAGTCTGGACACCCAGCTGGGAAAGCCTTGTTCCTCCTCGTGGCTTTGATGGGCTTCATCTACGTGTACTTTATAGAGAAAAAACCATTTCCTCAACTTCTTTATATTCAAAAGCTCTTCCCTAGATTTTGTAATCTGAATTGGTAAGTTTGTTTCAGGACCATCACTCACTACACAGTTGTTCATTGATTCCTTTTTTAATGCACTAGTCCCGCTTAGGGAGAAAGTTGGAGCCTTGTGTGGAAGATGTTGCCATTGGCATCTGTGCATAGCTGGGCCTGGCTTGGCCAGGGCTTCCCCTGGGCCTCGTGCTGCTCTAACCCGATGTCACCTGCAGCCTGAAGGTGGAGGGGCCCCCTCAGCATCAGAGTAGCAGCCACAGGTGGGACAGGTGGAGCCTTTGGGGTCTCCTTTGGCACTGGAGGACAGGCAAGGAGAAAGGAGCCACCATGGCCTGGGAAGGAGGCCTTCGTCATTGCTCTCTTTTCCTTGGAGCCCCACGTGAACCTCTCTCTGAGCAGAAGAATTTTGTTTTAAGAGTTCTTCTGTTCTCTCTCTATGAAGTAGATCTGAGTACCTCAGCTCTTTACAAAGTCCTTGGCGTTTTCCAGGAAAATGGTGAACAGTCAAGTTTACATTCCAGTCTCTGTTGTCGATAGGTCAGATGCGGTATTTACTGCCTCTCTGCTCCCCTCCCCCCGAGGGAATGAGCTCCATTTGAATCGAAAAGGAAGCCTAGGCTCCGAAATGGAAATTCTGTGTGAAGTGGGATTTTCTTTTCTTCTTTACTTTGAGAGTTAAAAACAGATACACAAAACAAGCTCATCACATTTTTTCTTTTCTTTCTTTTTTTCAATAGCGTTGAACTCCTAGCATCTGTGATTCCAAGCCTCAGCCTTCCGGGGTTTTTCCTCGGCCTTTGAAGACATGTCTGTCGCTTATGACGATTCCGTTGGCGTCGAAGTTTCCAGTGATAGCTTCTGGGAGGTGAGTCTTGCCTTGTTCCCTCTGGTGTGGCTTGGAGGCACCGGGTTGTGTATATTCCGAATTATACCAACAGAGACTAGTCGAGGTTTTTGTCCTGATTGTGGACGGCATCATTGTTCACGAGGGTGACATGTTTGGTTTCCGGCTTGGCTCATCCAACAGTAAATGCTTCATAAAAGGGCTTCAGGACTGTATAGGAAGAGAGGGGAGGTAAATGAGAAAGCTGGGTTGCCTTTGTCTGCGAAATCCTGTGATTTTGGAGCTTACTGGAAGCTGGCCTCTGCCTCAGCTTGTTGCTTGCTCACTCGCCTGAGTAGGCATTGAACAAAGGACGTTGCTCACGCCGATCTGGTGAAGTGGGTAGCGTGGGCCCAGAAGAAGAAACAGGCGCTCCATAGCCCGCTTCAGGTGGCATCTTTGACAGACGCCCTTTTCTAGGATCATATCAATCCGTAGAATGCCATCCTGGGCCTGCTTTCTTGGGGATGTCCTATGAGTGCCAAGGCAAAGCCGATGTCGTCCAGGTAGGCCAGGGTTCTTCTGCTGCTCCCACCCCCTCTGGGCAGCCCTGCTAGCCCTTAGCCCACAGAGGCAGCTCGGACATGCTCCCAGACTGGATCAGGCTGTTTGCTTTTTCAACATGGATGATGACTTCGCTTAATTTTACCATATGAGAAGTTTGGACTATAAAGAAAACAGTCTCACTTACGTACAGCAGAGTCTTGGAAGCCTGGACAGGCTGTTCTAGAAAGAGAAAGTCTTCATTGAAGTGTGGGGTGGAGCCTCTCAGCTTTGAGCCTGTGATTCTCAGAGGGGGGGTTCGGGAGAAGGAACCTCAAGCTGGGGCTGGCGCTGTCGGGCTCACGCTGGTGTTCGGACCCAGGCCTTCTGACTGCCCTCCATTGCTCATTCTGCCTCGGGTGGAGAAGGTGGGCATCGGGACTGGAGCTGACCCTGGAAGGAGAGAGGATAGCGGGGAGCAAGGGGGGAGGCTTCTTCCTCTGTGTGTGGGAGCTAGCAGGAGCAAAAGTCAAGTGGTAGAAATGTGTCCGGTGTGTGAGGAAGGTGCGTGAGAGAGATTGACCTGCTGAGAGCAGAGCCTCTGGGGGGGCAGGAAATGAGGTGCTGTGTTTAGGTCAGTCAGTGGGTAAGGCTGCATTGCGGAGCAGGCCCTGAAGCCTCTCCTTACCAGGAGCTGTAAAATGGTGTGTTGTCAGCTTTCTGTCTGGTTATCTTCCTTTCGTGGGACCTTGTGGTTTGGTTGGCATGTATGTGTGTATGTGCATGTGTGTGTGCACAGGTATGCACACATCGAGAGAACTTGGGAGCTGGGGTGTGTTTGTTTACAAATGACAGTCTTGTTTCTTACCAGAAGTGCTTGGCTTTGATGGCCCCATTGCACCCCAGTGGAGCCCCACAAACTCGGTAGCCACTTAGCTCTCAGCACTCACTGACTGCCCTGCTCTCTCCCTGGTGAAGTTGATCCTCACAGGGGCCGGGGTAGACAGCTGTTGGCTGCCACGTTATTTGTAATGTCTTAATGGTATCTGTGGTCTCTTGATTAGAGTTGATTTTCGCAGTGTCTCTGAATAAGTACACAGGGTCAAAGAATGACTAATCCACCTATTTCAGAGACCTCAGCCTGGGTATAGACCACAAGAAACTGTTTTTCTCTCATTAGACGCCCAACTAAATGATGGAAAAGTGTGTGCGTAAACCCCATCAATTTGCTCTGAGGCTTTCAGCAATGTGTCTGGCTTGTATTATTCTATCACCTGAGGGCATCCCTTTGGATATTGAACTATAGATGGTAGGTGTAGTGTTGCACAGTGAAATCTAGCGGAACCAGCAACATGAAGAGGACAGCTGGCCTGCAGGAAGCCAACCCCATTTTTAACATTTGCCTCGTTGTCAAAGTGGGTAATTTGTTTATAGCCAGTTCTGAGAGAGATTCTGATTTAGCCGCAGTTGGACACCCTTAACAGCTGGTTCCCAGAATTATCCTGGATGCTGCCTCACAGAAGCCTAGTTCAGACTGTGTCAGGTGTCCGGCCTGGAAAGGAGCAGAGCTGGGTGCTTTTGTCTTAGTATTGATTGAACGCTGTGCAGTTTTCTAAAGTCCTTAAACCACGTCCATTAGTGTCCCCGTTACCCTCCCCCAACAAGAGTGAAGGTGGAATTTCTGGATCAGATTCTGCATCCTGAAACCCTATTTTAATTTTGACCATCATCACCTAAGATATTTCTGCATTTATGAAGGATGAAAGCCTTTGGTTTTTCCAGTCTTTTTGCCAAGGCCCAAGTATAAGAGACACATTCTTCTGTTTGTCAATTTAATTGTAATCATGTTGTGGTCAGACCCAACCCTGATGACCAAAAACAATGATACACCTTTAGTTTTGAAGAACTGTCTTTTTGTTCATTTCCTCAGGAATTTCCTGAGCTGCTCTGGGGTTGGCTCTATGCCCTTTGCCAGGTGCTGGGAGCACAGAGGCAACAATGAATCTGTCCCTGCCCTCAAGAAGCATACATTCTAACATGTACACAGATGTATGTCTTGAGTACCTTTTAAAGCAAAAAGAATTAAGAAGTGGCTCCTGATACTCATTTGAGTTGAGTCTTAACTAGAGTTAGGGATTTTCGGATGTGGCGATTAAGAGGGAGAGCATTTCTGGTGTGGAGCACAGCCTGGGCAAAGGCAGAGCAATGGGAAATGAATACTGAGGACTGAGAACAGCAAGGCAGCCTATTCAGCTGGAACAAAGTGTACAAGAGGGAGACGGATGTGAAACCAGCCTGGAAAGAGATATTGGAGCCGGAGGGTGACCTTTTAAATGCCTTACAGAGAAGGCAGTCAGGAGCCCTGAGCGAGGGAACGATGCGGTCAGCCCTGTGTTTGAGGAATATTCAGCTCTGTGGACACTAGATTGGAGAGGGGAGAGACTAGATGCAGGGAAACCGAGTCAGAGGCTCTTGAAGCAGTCCAGGTGAGAGAGAACATTGGTCTGGACTAGTGGCAGGTTCGGAGATTGAGATTGAGAGCAGGGATGGGTTTGCAAGATATTGTAGAGAGTTGTGTGCACAAGGTGTGGAGGCATGATTTTTTTCCCCAATGAACAAATAACCGATTTTCTTTCCTTCGATCACTCCTCGCTTCCTCATTGGAAAAAAGGAATTGTAACAAACAGGCCTGATCCAGCAAAGCAGATGCCCGCTTTGATCGTGTCCACACACACAGCTCTCACTCGGCATCTTTCAGGAGGAGGACGGGAGGCACCATGGCAGTCCTCTTGAATCCTGGCTGGTCATTGCCTTGATTAGAATTCCTGAGGCTTCCAGAGTTGTTTGTGTTTACAATATTGTTGTTATTGTTTCATTGTTCCGGTTCAGCTCACTTCCTCTGCATCAGCTCAGACGAGTCTCACTAGGTTTCATCATTTCTTGGGGCTCCACAGTATTCCATTACATTCATATACCATCATTTGTTCAGCTATGGTCCAGTTGATGGGCACCCCTAGCCCACCCCCGCCCTGAGTTTCCGGTTCTTTGACAGTACAAAAATATCTGCTGTAAATATTTGTGTACATGTGGGGACATCTCTTTCTTTTTTCTTAGATCTCTTAGGGATGAAGGCCAGATAGTGGTATCACTGAGTCAAAGAGTGTGGACCATTTAATAGCTGGGGGCCATGAAGCTGTAACGGGCCTGTTTTCCTTTAGCCTCTGACATTTGTCGTTTTCCTTATTTGGGTCAACTTTGCAAGTCTGATGGGGGTGAGGTTTGCATTTCTTTAATTACTAATGATTCCGAGCGTGGCTCTTTCACGTGGCTCTTGATAGCTAGAGTTGCTTCCTTTGAAGATTGCCTGTTTGAGGGTAGATCAGGATGGCAGAGTGACAGGAAGGAGGACAGCAAGCTGCCCCGACAGATAGAGGGACCCCCCCCCCCCCAGCTCATCTGGAGGAGCTGGGATGACTCAGAGGGGGAGGTCCTGCTTGGTCGATCCCGCTTGGTCCTCCCGCTTGCTTGGCCGGGTCAGTGCAACTTTCCCCAGGCCCGTCCTTGGAAGGACATTAGGCTGCCATCAGTGAAGGCTCCAGAGAGAGCCCAGGGAGGTGGTTGGAGAGATTCTTGTTCTGTTGCGGTTTGGAGAAGAAAACCTTGAGGGTGCTGCTAAATCCTAGGAAAGGAGATAAAGCAGAGACACAAACAATTCTCTAATAACCTAGCTTATAAAGGTGCAAGAAAAGAGCCTGGGAGCAGAGAGAGCTCTCAGCCAAGAGTCGTGATTTCTGAGGTGGGGGAGGCTCGGCCCTGCCCTGCGACTCCTGGGTGGCTTCTCCCCAGAAGCTCCCCGGGCAGCCTTGTGTCCCTGCTGGCCCAGCCGTGGAGCCACGTAACTGCTGCAGGTTCCCGGGGTACGCCTTGGGCAGGAACCCTGCTGCCCTCACTCAGCATCCGAGAAACGCCACCTTCTGTGGAGGCTGGCGCCTGCTGTGGAATTACGGCTGGTTTTAATCGTCATCGCTGGTGGGGTTGAGAAGGAGGGCGTTGGGGACTGTCGCGAAGAGTGTGCAGTCTTTGGGGACAACGGGCTGGGAAGTGGGGGGGAGTGCAGGGATTTTTTTTTGAACTGGTTAAGTTAACTGGCTTACCTGTTAGAGGGCAGCGTTTTCCAGTATCATTGCAATGAAAAGTCCTTGATTTCAGAGCTTGGCACATATGGGATCCCAGCATCCTTGGAGTTGATCTGCTTCTCTTCTGCCTTCTGCATGAGTCTTATGATGAGGGGCAGCTAAGTGGTGCAGTGGATAGAGCACCGGCTCTGAAGTCGGGAGGACCTGAGTTCAAATCTGGCCTCAGACCAAACACTTGACACTATCTGTGTGACCTTGGGCAAGTCACTTAACCCCAATTGCCTAAAAAAAAAAAAAGATTCTTATGATGAAACTGATTTTTGAGTCAAGGCGTGGCCTTAACAACTTCGGCCAAGTTGGGGT